TGAGCCTTGGTAGTTATAGCACCAAACTTCAACTGGTCAACGAGACAAATGAAGCCGATCCCTTGACCAATTGTCTGCTAAACACTTGTGGTGCCTCTTCTTCCGCCTCGGGCTAATTACCAATCCTATTTCATTGTATCATCCCTACACTATCACAACTTTTTTACTTGCTTATTTTAATGTAGTATCGTGTGCCATTTTGAGCGGATCTCATGAGAACTTCGGACGAGGTGCGTTCCTCTAAGTCTTCCTACGAATAAGACCAATTTGTGAAAACAAGGTCTAACAACTTCCATACAATGAAACATCACTGCGACTATGCAAAAGGCCATAACATCTTGGTCTTCATAGCTTCGATTTTATTTGATGCCTTATCTGTGCATATAAAAATATACGAATGAATTTTTCCATTTTTAAAAATGCTATTAACTATTCCAGAATATTTGCATAGCCGATCTATTCGTTGTAAATATCCAAAAACATCAAAAAAATACATCTTAGATTAAGTAATATTAAGTAGCATTAAATAAATATATATAGGAGTTGAATTCATATAAATATATTGGAAGTTTTTCCTGAATCTCGCAGGCCATCACAAAATATAAATAGCCTTCTTTTAAAATAAAATATCAACTTTTCATCATTTTCTTATATTTCGTTTTTGTCGAAATCTGAATTTAAATTCTCAATCTCTCTAATGACTATATCAACAAGTGCTGTTTGTTGGGACAAATCAAGTTAGGATATATTTATTCCTTATAATTAACTAATTCCTGTGATCACTTGGTGGCAACTCATATTTTCAAATTATTCTCTTGGCAAATACTTGTGCATTTATCTGCATATGTGTTAGCTTGTGCACTTCTTTGTTGTTCATTTGCATCCTCGTGATCATTAGTAATTTCATTTATTCTGCTTCTAGTCCGTCTTAATTTGGTGTTTACTATTTTTATATAATCCATGTATGATTTCAGAGGACCTATGGAAACGGGAATCGCTCCCAGAGAGGCCTCCGATCGACTTACCGTATTCCAAGCGAAATTCGACGAGCTCTGGCGCAAGTATACCACTTATTCTAGTGGCGAGGAGCTATTTGGCTTGGAAGTAACGGAGTACCCTGATCTTCAACGTATCAAAAAGGAATTGACACTGTTGCAGAAGCTCTACCAACTGTATAATACCGTTCTCGACACGGTTAATGGTTATTACGATATTGCTTGGACAGAAATCGACATTGATGCTATTAATCAGCAACTAGTGGATTTCCAAAACAGGTAAGACACATTTTTCCATTTGTGTGACCTGAATTTTAAACTAATTTGGGTCTGCCTTGATATAAGGCTGTGGGTAGTGAGCTTATAGAGAAGAAGCTAATAATTTAACCACTACGATTTAATTATATTTTAAAGCTGTATTCTCGAATTTAAGTCGTGCATAGCTATGATGATTGGTATTAATAATCCACAGATTTCAATAACGCCATAACTTTTCTAAAAGGTGAAAGCCGCGAGGGGCTGCTAGCGGTTTTACTAAATACAATGATAACTCACAGGTCCTAAGATTGATGGCCATCAAAATTATTTCTATGGAAATATGTCCTACTAAAGGGGTCAGTAAGTCGATTCAAATACCAGTGATATGTCTCTGCTGCCACTTGCGCTGGGCATAAGAATATGAACTGCAATTATAATTAAGTGCCTTATCAGTCCTGCAATCATATCAAAAGGTAGGATGACAAAATGTTGAAAGTAATGTCACCAATCAGTAGTAAAATATAAAGCCAGAGAAAGGGATTTATAGATTAAGATATCTACATACAGCCAGGATTATGGATTCAATTGCTGCTTTCTAATGTCTTAATTGAATAGTTTGAATAGTTTGCTCACTACGCCTTTAAAATAATGGTCATTTTGATATATCTATGCAGCACTGGAAAATCACTTTTTACGTCAGTTTGCTTATAATCTGGCCCCAATTGTGATCAATCACAATGGTTTATGTAATCGATATGAAGATAATCCATGTTCGCATACAAGTACTGTAAAAATCAATTATGAACAAGTGTAATCTCCCTCAGGCTTCTACAAATGACATAATATACATATACTTAGTAGACCCTAGTCGTTTTCAGATTAGACTGAGAAATCCTAAATTCATTGATTTCGGGAAATATCAGATGATAACAGCCCGTAAAAATATTGTTGAACGTTAATAGAGTGCTCCGACTCTGTGTTTTGTCACCAGTCTCTGCCCTTTATTCTTTATTATATTTCCCGCATGTTTCCTATAACCAGAGTTTTATTCAGCTACAACATGACAGAAGCCAACTTGAAACGTATGTAAACTGTATCGTTCTGGACATGGTCCTTGTAAAATTGCTTGAATGTTTATATTCCTGGGAAATTTACACTTGAAAAATAAGTATAAATGCTGATTTTCCGAAGACGGTCCCGATGCATACTTATTCTTGTTAGTTATTTAGGGCTTCGGGGTTTTGATACAATAAAAAATGGCGATATAAATACTTTATCTAGCCTAATTTTAGACCGATGTGTATTCTGTTATTCAGTAGTTAAGTTGGCTAGCAAGCTAGAATCCTAACGAAACACTTCAAGATATGGTAGCAATAAGCGATCTTAATGGACGCCATCACTTGCTTCTGTATTGCTTTATTCCGTATGCTACCATCGAAGCCAAATTTGTAGCTTCTGTAGATCATAACCGTGCAGAGGGGCATGGATAAGGTATCCTCAGCACCATATGCCAGATATGTACCACTCTATTCCGATTCTAGCTTAACTTCCATGTCAGCGTCTAAAACTAAATTAAGCCAAAGAGTTAAGGGCGCTCCTATGTCAACCAGATACTAGATCTTTCGTAACTGTCTGAAAAGTTAATGACATCATTAAAACACATAAAGCTATTCCAAAGAATGGCACTTCTGTATCCCATGCTTTATAATTGTTCTTTGGTTATGGAATTAACAATTTTGCATATGTATGAGTGATTTTGTTCCCAACTTTGATGCTTTTACTAGTAAGAACAAACTGCAGCTTCCTTTTCTGTAGCAAATTCTGGAATCTGCTAATCCTTTCCACCACAAACAATTTTTTGAGGTTATGTTTTATTTTGTATTTACTCTATTTCGTTTAAAGTGATTAAGGAATGGTAGTAGAATTGTCCACTCGACTACATTGCCACGAGCGCCCTTGGGTCAAAGGGTAGCTGTGAATTTCAAGGAAGGCCAGGCCTTTTGTCATATCATATTCTCTGGTGGGATTGTCGATGCAGCAAACGTATATTTGCTATAACAATCGACTACATGTCATATTACTGATTTATTGGTAGTCTCGAAACTCTACTCAAATACGAAAAATATGTAACGTAATCGATTGTTATAGCAAATATACTTTTGCTTTATCGACAATCTCACCAAAGAATATGATATGACAAAATGCCTGGCCTTCATTGAAATTCACATCTGCCCTGTGCCCCAAGGGCACTCGTGGCAATTTAGTCGAGTGGTTAATGTGTCAAGCTCCCATTCTGTACTGTCATGGTTCGACTCCCGCTGGAGGTGTTGATAATACCGATGTGAGGTCGAAACTGCCGTCCACCCTGGATGAGAACAACTTTTGGGAAAGCAAGGCAATGTGAAATTCAATGGAAACGTAAGTTATATTCATATAATTGTGAGACAATTCTACTACCAGTCCTTTATAACATTAACCGAATCAGGATGAATACATCTCATATTAGTGATTTACTGATAGTCTCGAAACTCTACTCAAATATAAAAAATATGTTTTATTTTGTTCAAAAGAGCGGGTTAAATGGATTTCTAAATTGCCCTTAAGGGAAAACGAATGATGATTTATCTGTAATTGTGAGCTCTGGGTTGTTTGAAAAAAGCCAATGCCCACGGTCCAACGACTCTGATGAAGCTACGCTTTCTTCGTTAATGTAACAGATATCACCTTAGCCCAAAACTAACACTAGGGAACTATCAATAAAACACAAAACCAAGGAAAGTGGTAGGCTGAAATCCTACTTACCTTTTTGGTTAGGATTCTAGCCAACTTTCCTGATTTAGTATTTTTAGAATTTTAAAAGATAATTTTTCTGGCTTTGGTGATGCTTATCACAAAAAGAAGAAAGGCCAAGATGGATTTATGAGGACTACCTTGGACAAAGAGATCATCAAAAATTCGGGGCAACTTTATATCCGCTTCCGATGAAGCAAAAGCACAAAGCCATCCAACCCACCTTTTCAAATAAAATTAAAGACGCAAAAAGTACAATCACTTATGGTATTCATCGAAACCCAGTTTATAAAAATGTCTAAGAAATGAGTATGACTGCCGTGAAGTTATGTTTTTTTCGTAAATAATGGTATAAATAAATTCTCTAAAGGAGACAAACTTCTTCAGAAATCCTTAAATATACTGTTTTCTTGATACATTAATACGTAATGCATTGTGACATCTAGGGAAATCCATCAATTAAATTAAAAATATAGTTCTGAAATTATATTAATTTTGGCCGTTTCGTGAGGACTAGTAGCTAATTTTATAATTTGAAGATGGAAAAAAATGACTTTGAATGGAAAGGCATCTATAAACAAAATGGTAGAGTCTATCAGCAGTGAGATAAGATAAAAACAAAGTCCCAAGCGATACATTTGCAATTGTAATGAATTCTAGGATTGGCCATAAACTTTATGGATCACCAAATTCACGTCGTTCTGACAGAAAAGAAAGCAAATCAAAATGAACATGTGCCAAAGGGAGTTTTAAAATTATTCATATAATCAGGAAAAGTCAAAATCTAATCAAATAGCTTGAGCTGTGTGGCATAATACTTCATCAAAGGCCCAAAACTTTGAGCTGATTTTCAAGCCGAAATATTTTGCTTATGTACCTAACAGCTCATAGAATCTCGGATATAATAAGATGGTTTGCAGAATAAAATAAGAGAAGAGTTTGTGTGCACAGGAGGTATAAATAATTTAGTGTTAAAATTTCTAATCAATGAAATTGGATAGATCAAAATCAAATCAAATAAGCTCTCATATCTTGATAGTAAAGTAATAGGATAAAACTGAAGATTTTGTAGTATTATGTATTCATATACTTCTTTAAAATTCAACGTTTTGTAAAACAAATGTTTACTCTTTTAGCAAGACTGCATCATTCTTTTTACCTAATCTATTTTGATAAAGCTCATCAGCGATAAGAAACGATAATCTAGTCAGCCTTTGTGATTTGAACTTTTACTAAACACCGCAAATTTTTATAAGAATCAATGGCCTACCCCGACCAATCAATTAATTTCTTCATAAAAAATATTTCTTAACTTCTGATACACCTCTATCAGAAATATAAGACTTTTGTATAATTAGTATTACAAATATTACCACCTGGTTATATGAGGTTGTTGCGGAATTCCTCTATTTTATTGGCAGCCTAATAGTCACATATCTGTTAACATTTTGCTTTAGTTATTTCTATTATAATCAAAATTTATCCAAACTCTAATTATTTTTTATTTTAAGATGCCGA